AGAGAGAGAGAGAGAGAGAGAGAGAGAGAGATAGAGAGAGAGAGAGAGAGAGAGAGAGAGAGAGAGAGAGAGAGAGAGAGAGAGAGAGAGAGAGAGAGAGAGAGGAGAGAGAGAGAGAGAGAGAGAGAGACAGGGAAAGGGAGAGAGCAAAAATCAAACAGCATAAATGATAAGGAACAGCGTCTCTCATATGGTGGTTATAAGCCATATATATATATATATATATATATATATATATATATATATATATATATGTATAGATATATAGGCGTATATATACATAGATAGATAGATGGATGGATAGATAGGTTGACATAGCGATTACATTTACTGATGAAGACTGTGGTTCAAATGTGGGGCATGAATGCTTCCTAACATAGTATACAGGTAATATTCTACATTATTCGCTCCTGTTCCCTGTTTGACACCTCAATGGCTCCTTTCACATAGGACTTCAATATAACACTTCAATACAGACTTTCAACATAGGATTTCAAAATAAGGGCCACGAATAGCTTACTGTGTCTCATAATTGGCTGCGTGATTCTACCTTTTGATTGGATCATGTGCCGTAAACCTGATTTTTTTCTATTTGACCAGCTAAAATATACAAAGCACGAGAGCGTGCAGATCTTTCAGTCTCGGTTTACCTCTTTTAATTTTGACTTAATGCATCGCTATTGTAGGAATCTGTTCTTACTTTATTGAAATCCGCTCTCCCTGAACCTTTCTGCAGCCAACTGCTGCTAGTTGGCTTATTGTCAGTTACAGATGCCCGAGTCATCTTTGACCATTGGCGTCTGCCTCACAGCCCCTTTGTGAAAAAGGCCCGCTACAGCCCGCAACGGCGTATTCGTACTCGTGGCAAGTTGTGCAAAGAGCGGGGCAAGCGTTATGCCTGTTGACATGGCTGCCTTTTCTTTCCGAAAGCTTTATGGGATGTCTGCCACATTTGCGAATAAAAAGAAAATAGGAATTGACTTCAGGGAAACGGCAGGCTGCGGTTGTCAGATAATGCGCACCTCAGACCTATAGGCCAGAGTCACGCAACGCTCAAGTGTTTCCACATATGTGGCGGCAGGTATTGAGTAGGGGGCACACAGGGCATCCACAAAATCTGACCTTGAAAAGCCTGCCCAAAATATCTCACACTGAAAAGGCAGCGCTCCTGGTGCTGCCGTAGCGTGAGGGATATCATTAAGATGTTGCTTCCGCAATTGGAGGGGATATCCCCTGCCGATGTCGCAGTATGGCTGCGACAGTTTGAGGAGTCCCCACCCTGACAGCGGGACTGCGACGGTTTGAGCGACACCCACCCGGAGGAATCGCAGCGGCGTGAGGGACGCCAGCTCCGGCAGTGAGTCCGCTCGATAAACACTCACTCTGGCAGTATGGCAGCGACAGTTTGAGGAGTCCCCACCCTGACAGCGGGACTGCGACGGTTTGAGCGACACCCACCCGGAGGAATCGCAGCGGCGTGAGGGACGCCAGCTCCGGCAGTGAGTCCGCTCGATAAACACTCACTCTGGCAGTGTGGCTGCGGCAATTTCAGGAGTCCGGCTGCGATCTGCTCTCGGCGCAGCTGCTCCAGACCAGCCAGGTGCGGCGCGAAGAACGGCCGGTGTCCGAACGGGAACGGGAACGGAAACTGCCCTGCGGATGCCGGACAGCGCGTCAGTTGGATGACGACGTCTGTGTCGCACGGAGACGGACCGACCGACAAGAAAGCAGGCACACACACACCACACGGTCATACATACACATGTACAACAGACACACAGACAGACAGAGAACAGTGAGGCTGCACGAGGTAAAACAATTGACACTTATGCACGCTCTTCAAGTATTAATAATGTGCTCCTTTTGGGGAGGTAAATATAAAAACATCAGTTTATCGGCTCTCAGAAGGTTACGGATCAGCCTGGACTCAAGGTGACCATGTGATAGGATGTTAAACGACAAAAGTTCCTGTACATTCCTGTCGGTTAAAGCACGGTCGCAGAATCAACGACTGCACTGAGACTGCAACACTTGGGTTACACGCAGGAAAGGATGATCGTGAAGAGTCAGAGCTTGAGTCCACCCGTTTCTGCACACGTTTTGCAGTAACAAGAGAAATATACCACGCTTGAAGATAAGCCACCCCTCCCAAAAAAAACTTTGTCTGTGAACCTTTTGAAGCCTCGTATCCATGTGACGCAAACGCATTTAGATGCCTGTTATGCATTTTGTCTGGAGTCAGTCCTGGTCTAGATGCCCAATTATCTGGTTAGCTGTGTCGGGGACCAGACCTTCGTCACGTCAACACATTGCCCATTTGATGACGTGGCGTGCCACCAAGGTGATCCTAAGATGGCAGCTCACCGCCCAATGGGTTTCTTTTAGCTTATAGCGCTGTAATAATCCCTGTCAGGGGTTACTGCGTCGCTACCTATGGCCGTAGCTCCTACGCTTGTAAGCGAGGGAGTGGAGGGTGCCATGGCTTTCGGTCAGACAAAAGTATGCTAAGCTCCTAGATTTTCTCTTGTTTTGCAGATGTGTCGAAGAAACCTTGGCGAACACATTTGTCTGCACATATGCACAAACTGCTGGCAAATCGCGGGCCGCATAGACGTATGAGGCGATGACGTAAATGATAATCTAATGGATGTATGAGGCGGCGTGTTCCAGCACAGACAGCTGGGGGGCGGTGCCTCCCTGCATGTGATAGGCTCCTAACGAATCGTCACACATAATTAGCTACTGAGGGCCTGCAGTAAAGTGGCAATTAAAACCTCCGCACTAATTTATGGAAATATTTCGTGCCCATAAATTTACATTTCGGGACATTGACAGGTTTATTCGCGCGCCGTATGATTTTCATTAGTGCAATTTTAGGTAAGTTCCGAAATCAGGGTGAGGAAAACGAGTTAGCCACACGACGGGGCGTCCGTAACGGGCAGTAAACAGGCAGAGCTTAAGACTTTACAGCGTCGTTGCGTTTCTAGCGACCACATTACACAGTAAGAACACCATAAGCACACCAAGCTAATGGATTTTTACGTATGAATGTCAGGGTATAAACCATATGGCCTTCACCCCTGTCACAATGCAACCCTGCAGAAACGATGGACGCGTCGCTGATTAAAACTGTACTAGTGAGCATTTGCGTACAAATACATTGCGAATTAATGCCCATGCCAATGATGCAACCGATATCGAATTGCTGCACAGTACACTTGCATCCACTGAGTGTGAGAAATCTGGGCTAGCCGCTGCGCTGGCGCGGTCTTTGGCTCCATATGGGAGTACATGCGCAAATTAGCAGCCACCCAGCGTTGGCTGAATGTCTGTGTGGGGATGTTGCCTCAGCAGAGTGTATGTGTGGGAGTATGGTCCCAGCTGAGCGTCTGTGTGGGAGTATGGCCACAGCTGAGTGTCTGTGCGGGGGTGTGAGCCTGGTGAGCGTCTGTGTGGGGGTGTGGGCCTGGTGAGCGTCTGTGTGGGAGTATGGCCCAGCTGAGTGTCTGTGTGGGGGTGTGAGCCTGGTGAGCGTCTGTGTGGGAGTATGGCCCCAGCTGAGTGTCTGTGTGGGGGTGTGAGCCTGGTGAGCGTCTGTGTGGGAGTATGGCCCAGCTGAGTGTATGTGTGGGGGTGTGAGCCTGGTGAGCGTCTGTGTGGGAGTATGGCCCAGCTGAGTGTCTGTGTGGGGGTGTGAGCCTGGTGAGCGTCTGCGTGGGAGTATGGCCCAGCTGAGTGTCTGTGTGGGGGTGTGAGCCTGGTGAGCGTCTGTGTGGGAGTATGGCCCAGCTGAGTGTCTGTGTGGGGGTGTGAGCCTGGTGAGCGTCTGTGTGGGAGTATGGCCCAGCTGAGTGTCTGTGTGGGGGTGTGAGCCTGGTGAGCGTCTGTGTGGGAGTATGGCCCAGCTGAGTGTCTGTGTGGGGGGTGTGAGCCTGGTGAGCGTCTGTGTGGGAGTATGGCCCAGCTGAGTGTCTGCGTGGGGGTGTGAGCCTGGTGAGCGTCTGTGTGGGAGTATGGCCCAGCTGAGTGTCTGCGTGGGGGTGTGAGCCTGGTGAGCGTCTGTGTGGGAGTATGGCCCAGCTGAGTGTCTGTGTGGGGGTGTGAGCCTGGTGAGCGTCTGTGTGGGGGTGTGGGCTTGGTGAGCGTCTGTGTGGGAGTATGGCCCAGCTGAGTATCTGTGTGGGGGTGTGAGCCTGGTGAGCGTCTGTGTAGGAGTATGACCCCAGCTGAGTGTCTGCGTGGGGGTGTGAGCCTGGTGAGCGTCTGCGTGGGAGTGTTGGCCGGGGTCGGGCGCCCGTGTGACAATGTCGTTTGTGAGGCGGGCGGCCGGCCGCCGCTCAGCTCGTTACAGGCAGCGCGGCCTGGTACTGACTTGTCTTACTGCGTGGCTCCCGGGGTCCGTCCACCGTGACCTTGATGGCCTTGTTGTAGGTCGTGACCTGGCATGGCCGGGACGACACGATGATGGTCACCGACAGACTCTTCCCTGCGAAAGTGGGCGGCGCAGGTCAGATGGGCCCCACCAGGCGACAGGCGACAGGAAACACCAGGCAACAGGCGACACAACAAACACCAGGCAACAGGCGACACAACAAACACCAGGCAGTAGGCGACACAGTGTTCTAGCATTGCCGAATTTGGGTGTAAAGTGGCACCACATGAGGAGGATTTTTTCTCTTGTTTTCCCCATATGTTAATTTTTTTACTTCTGTCTGATATTGTCTAAACACACATACCAGACCCATATTTTCTTTTCAGAGGTTTTAACATGCCATACAAAACTAAGCTCACTTGAAACCAACAAGAACGAACAAGGCTCCACAGAACCTGGACACCTGGGGCTATATCCTCCCTCGCTTACATCTAAATAATGCTCATGTATGCACAGAGCAAGGGCACCAGGTACATTCAAGCCCGAGAGCCAACGGACTCCAGCCGTTTGTATGCATCAAGCTTGGTTTGTTCACAAAATGAACCACAATCTAAAGCTGTGTGCCAAATGCAAAGGTTTCACGCATCCCGAATTTTTTGGGTCACACGACGCAAAGACCACACCAGTAAAGCAAAACCTGATACAAGCGCCAGCAAAGCCTGATAGAGGATTTTACTTTACGTATTTATTTACCCGAATAAACTTGAACAAACTAAATTGCACCACTTACGAAATGTAAGAGTTAGAAATTCAAAAAATTCTTTCTGAACGATTTCCAAAGGCTGAATATCACCATTTGAACACTCATTTTCACAGAGTTTTAGTCAAATGGGTTGATCACAAAATTGGATAAAAAACTCTAAGTCTTTATAGTCATTTGAGTACTTTTGTTTATCTTGGTCTCAACCCAATGCAATACAACTTTACTTTTCCTTCCTCTCCGATAATATTTACAGATGTCATATATGGCTTACAATGTTGATCGGTTTCTCTGTAAAATGTTTCAACTGCAAACTTGCACGTATGTTTTACATAAATTGAATTAATTCGCCTGCCGCCCAAATAGTTTGATGTGTACACAAAAGCGAAATATATTTACCGCCATTCATCCTTGCCAAACCCCCTTTTCAGCTGGATTTTTTTTCTTTGGCTTATGGCGTGACTCAATAATGCTAAATCTAAGTAATTCCAGGTTCACTACCTCACCACGCTTCTTTATCCCGCCGCACTAGTTTTGGAACAGACCTGGCGAGGCTAATACAGAAGTGTTTAGTAGCAAAATTCTGCCCCTCGAAACTGTTTTCTCATGCAGACCTCCTCTCACTTATTTCGCATTTCAATCTGGTAGTTTGATGGCATGCTTTATGCTCAAATTTTGTGGGTGGGTTGGATGACCCTGTCTGTCATCAAATCTTGCGAAAAATATTGATTTTTTGTTCGGGGGAGCAGAAAAAACCTGCTCTAAAGAAGCCAGTAAGTTTCTACTCGGCAGCACCTAAATGGCCGTGCTTTTAAACTTGCTTTTAAAACATGATTCGTAATTAGATTTAGCCATTTTCTGTTTTGACCCAGCAAGTTTTGTTCGTAACAGAAATTACGTAGGCACAAGACATGCAATTAAACCATGTTTTCCATGCTATTGTTTATTTGTCTCAACTTTGCTGAAGTGGTCCCTCCTGCCTGCTTTAACAAAATGTTGTCCATAGTTGTCATGGTCTACTAACTGGCAAATGGCTGCATTGTAGATGTCCCTACATTTTAAAAATCCGAAATTTGTCACTGGAATTTATTAGTATGCCGCAGGCGCTCACAATTTCCTGAAATACGTATACCATCATTGCATGTTTTCAGCTAACGTATTCTTACGTGTCTGCTTGGACGTCTTTAGCTCCCAAGGTCGATGCCTACACGAATACATGATGAGGCCTATTAGATTTACTACGAGAGGCACGACCCCCTTCCCGTCGCTCCCTGAATACGCTCGCTGACAACACATGCTGCACTATTTCCTGCCCCGGGACGTAATGCAATGGTTATAGACATTGCATGGAAAACTGCAGCAACGGCTACACATGCCACACACGAACCGTGCGGTACTGATGCCACTGCACCAGAGCCATGCATGCTCTCCCATGCTGCACACAAGCTGCGCCATACACATCGGTTTGGCACGGCACGCGGGAGGCCTGGACGCGCCGCACGTATCTCAGTGAGCGCGCCGGAAGTGCAGAGCCATTATGCACCGACGGTGTAGTTTGATCAATGATGCACGAAACGGTCACGGAGAGAGAATACTGAGAAAGTTGGTGCGCTAAAGCGACCGTAGCGAGCCAATGTCAACGAAAACTGTTGAAGCTATGCCAATATCAGTGACAAATGTGTGAGGGGTGGCCAGTGCGCCGCATATCAGTGACGGAGCGCGAATCGGTCACAGCACGGGTCGGCGGCTGGGCGGGACTCGGTCACAGCACGGGTCGGCAGCGGGGCCGGACTCGGTCACAGCACGGGTCGGCAGCGGAGCGGTAGTAGGTCACAGCACGGGTCGGCAGCGGAGCGGGACTCGATCACAGCACGGGTCGGCAGCGGAGCGGGACTCGGTCACAGCACGGGTCGGCAGCGGAGCGGGACTCGGTCACAGCACGGGTCGGCAGCGGGGCCGGACTCGGTCACAGCACGGGTCGGCAGCGGGGCCGGACTCGGTCACAGCACGAGTCGGCAGCGGAGCGGGACTCGATCACAGCACGGGTCGGCAGCGGAGCGGGACTCGGTCACAGCACGGGTCGGCAGCGGAGCGGGACTCGGTCACAGCACGGGTCGGCAGCGGGGCCGGACTCGGTCACAGCACGAGTCGGCAGCGGAGCGGGACTCGATCACAGCACGAGTCGGCAGCGGAGCGGGACTCGATCACAGCGCGGGTCGGCAGCGGGGCCGGACTTGGTCACAGCACGGGTCGGCAGCGGGGCCGGACTCGGTCACAGCACGGGTCGGCAGCGGGGCGGGACTCGGTCACAGCACGGGTCCCCAGTGGAGCGGGACTCGGTCACAGCACGGGTCGGTGCCGGCCGTGATCGAGTGCCTCTGACAGCCGCAAAAGGTGGGCACCGATTCGGGGGCGTCCCAGTCGCCAATATCGGTGATTTACGACCGTTCGTGGATGAATAACTCGTCCGGACATCGATTGCATGCTCGGCATAATCACACTTTTCGTATAGTAATTGCGGTGGCAGTGGCTATTACCGATTAAAATAATTTGGTTTGCATGCGAAATTCTCATTAGGCGCCGTCAAACTAATGCAGCAGTTGCAGCAGGAATTCGAGGCTAGTTGGAGGGCGGCATGGTCTGTGGGCCGTGACGCTGACGCAGTGGGGGCCCACCGTGCTCCGATCGCGTACGTGGGCCACGTGTGCCGCCGTGCCCAGGCCACGTACGGCTGTCATGTCCCTATCATGTGTAGCTGCCGTGCCCTGGCCTCGTATGTCTGTCACGTCCCGCCCAGACTGGCTGTCACATCCCTGTCATGTGTAGCTGCCGTGCCCTGGCCTCGTAGTCTGTCACGTCCCGCCCAGACTGGCTGTCACATCCCTGTCATGTGTAGCTGCCGTGCCCTGGCCTCGTATGTCTGTCACGTCTCGCCCAGACTGGCTGTCACGTCCCTGTCATGTGTAGCTGCCGTGCCCTGGCCTCGTAGTCTGTCACGTCCCGCCCAGACTGGCTGTCACGTCCCTGTCATGTGTAGCTGCCGTGCGCCTGCCACGTGAAGTTGCATTGCGCTAGTCATCTGTGGTTGTCCTGTCCTGGCCTTATATGGCTGCTGTGCACCTGTCACGTGAAGCTGCTGTGCACCAGGTGTGTGTGCCTGTCCTGTTCTGGCCTTATATGGCTGCTGTTCACCTGTCACGTGAAGCTGCTGTGCACCAGGTGTGTGTGGCTGTCCTGCCCTGGCCTTACGTGGCTGCTATGCGCCTGCCGCGTGAAGCTGCTGCGCAGTAGTCATGTGTGGCTGTCCTGCCCTGGCCTTATGTGGCTGCTATGCCGCTTACATGTGAAGGCCGTACCCCGGCCGTGCTGGACTGCCATGCCGAGGCCACGAATAGTTGACGTGCCCTGGCTACATTGACCTTGTCTTTGAAAAGCAAACAGCGTGGCTGTACTTTACTCCAAAGCTCAGCACATGCAACGCGCTGCGCAAAAAAAGAGCATCCATAATCCACTATGACCTCATTTTGATCATATGTTTATCGTTGACTGACGTTTCATCACACGACGAACATCTGTTGGAAAGAAGCAGTTGGAAACCAATAAAGAATTGAATTGCAAATAACCTTTACAAATTAGATGTACGTTATTTAGTCGCTGACGTGTATATAGCAACTCAAAGGCAAGGTTAGCCTGCTAGCGAAGACAGTTCCCAGGGAACTGTTTCATCTAATACGGAAACAGGGCACTCGACGAGGTCATATAAGATCAAGGTCAAATAAGGTCATTAACCTGAAACTATTATAAGTGACCTTTTGCTTAGAATATATGTCTAGCTTGAATGTAGCTGCATAGGGGTGTCTGAGGAAACTTCGACACCGGTCTTGTTTTACCACATTGACCTCATTTGACCCAAAGGCCATGAGCTATGGACCTCAAAATTTGACACCAGTGTGTGCACATATAGGTCTATGTATCCTCTTAATTTGGTGTCTCTAGCTTTCTCAAGTTTTGAGGTGTCAGGGGTCATGCTGACACCATCCGAGCGGCGTCGTATTCAACCGGCCTCGGGGCGTAAAAGGTGTGCCCGCGGCCTGAACGACAGTGGTATTGAGCATTGCCTTTCTCCGAGCAGGCGTGCCACGTACCAGACATGCCGAGTAGGATATGGCGCATCAAATGTGGCCCAAACACTATTTAGACACACAAGTGAAATATAAAGTTGAAGTTCATTCCTTTCATTTCGTGTAATTTTCACCACTCATTTAATCGTACACTCATAAACAACGGGCACCTGTTATACTGACGGGCTAAGTCGCATGATAAATAGCTTGCGACTTAAGCGCTACCAGATCAC